GCGCGCGCGCGCGCGCGCGTGCTTGTGTATTATTTCATTTAATGTAGTAAGAAGAAGTTGGCAATTGAAATAGTAAAAGCGTGGGCGTGTTGAGTTATATAAAAGCGCTCGTAAAACGCGAACGCTCTTGTTTTTCCTCTTCTTTTTTTTATATATGTATATGTATATGCATATATACACATATATGTATAAAAACAGGTTGAAATAGAATAAAACGTTGGTTTGTGTTCATAATGTAGGAGTGATCAATATTTAAAGATTCTGAAAGTAGGTAAATGCAGCGAATAAAAAGAAAGCAGGATAAAAAGGTTGATGATGTTTTTAACTAGATGTTCTTTTATCATTAAAGGAAAGATTTCTGGTTTTTGCGGTATTTACTTATGCGTATAGCGGTGGCTTGATACAATTAAGTCGTTTTCTGATGGACGTCCGTTTGATTTAGTATTCGCGGTAATTTAATGGACGAAGGTAAAGGGGAATGACGCATGAATAATTTATTTAGGAAACTGCAAAAAACCTTCGACTACACGCAACTCGTTCGAGATCATTTTATCCAAACGGTTAACAAGCTACGCTATGAATGTAAAATTGCTCTTACTGTTTCATATAATTCGTCAACAAATTTGCTTTTGCTTGATTTGCAACGAAGAGATGAACGGTTTATCCGTTACGAAAGTTTCGTAGGAGAAAGATAAACATTTCTGTGCAACTTTTAGCAAAGGAGGAACATACCTGGACGTTCAAGGATTCAGTTCAAGATTATATTGGCAAAGAAGTCCGTAGAAAAGCCAGGAAGTTTAACGTTTGTAATCTTCGACAAACGTATAATTTAATATCGCGATCTTTAAAACGTTAACGAGCTCTTCAGAGAATTTCTAAGTGACTACGAATGTACTTTAATATTCAAATAAACGAAGACTATTACACCGATATAAATACGTTTTGAAACTTAAGGAAACACTATGTCCAAGTGCAAAATAGATTTAAGGCTTTAGCCGGACAGCTAAGGATACAAATTCGACCAGATTCAAAATTTAGAATGCGGAAATTAAAATTATTCGTCGATACGTTCGAATTTCGAGATTTTGAACTTCAAATGATTTTCGAGAAAAAGAGACGCGGAACTTCTGCGGCCGGATCTTTGGGGTAGGCACGTGCCGAACGCATTGTTCCTTTTTTGCCGAACACGAAACAGAAAAGAGCGGCTTTTCTTCGACGTGTAAACGGGACTTTATGCGCTGGTTATTCATGCCATTCGCGTGTACGTACGAGCTTTCGCACATTTACGCTACTCATTCATACAGGGAAAGAGATATAAATACGCGTGCGCGTTTGCGAACACGTGCGCATACACCCACGATGCGTAACGACCGTGTAAAGTCCCCTACTCTTTTCCGAATCTCCGCCACTCTACGATTTCCCCACTCCTTCCATTGCCATCTCCTCGTCATCCCCGTTATTACTCGAAAACCTTTTGTTTATTTATGAAATACATTTGAAGATTCAATTTTGTCCACGTAAGTACATACTCACCTCGCTTATATCCGTCGTTTGTTTGTCTTTTGTTTGTCCGTTTTGCTTTATACTTTTCACGCCTCTGACTCTTTCCTTCTTTTCTCCTTGTTTCTTATTTCTTTCTCTGGCTGTTTTATGTGCTCGAGCGCAAAGCATACACGTTGCTCCGTCAATGAATTCTGATCGCGCGAAGCCCTGTACCGACGGTCGGTAAAAAGTTCCTCTTGCAGAAGTTTGTAAAGTGAGAACACGTTCACCTAGTTGCAATTATGTACTCGGTTTAATTCTGTTCTTGACACTGTGTGTCGTTTGATCGCAAACCGTTTTCACATCCACGACCAGCCGTTGTGGCAAACGTGGTACACGCATGTTTATTTGCATCCGTGAATATTAAGAGTGGTAAGTTTGATTATCTTCCTTGGAAACTCGCCACAAAATCGATCAGTCGAGTGTTTCGTTTCATTTAAAGCATTGCCCGAGTTTCGGCACTCCGAAAACGGAGACTATTTCGCAAACAGCGAGGACCAAAGTTTCCGACTTAAAAGAAGTTTGGTCAACGATTAGCTTCTGATTAAAACAAGAAGATCGATATTGTAACGGAAGAGGTATTTAAAGCAAACTAGTGTCAATCAAAGAAACTGTATTAAATTACGCTATGCTAACGCAACGAATATAATTTGCATATTACTAGCAAGTACATGCAAATCCAAGCAATTACTCGGCATCTATGTTTTACCTGGAAAAGAGTGCGCCACCGTATACGTAACTGGGAATAAACGTGGTTATTATTAGAAGAAATTGTATGCGGATATAACTAATAATGACGTGTAATAGTATTTTCGTCTCATGGTGGAAACTGAAGGCTTGGAAATTCGGTAGCCGCATACATAAGCGGCAGAAGCACGATTAAACTTTAAAATGCAATTATCTCAAAATAACTGTGCTCGGCAGTTAGCAAGTCTGCGCTCAGTAGGGCAACGTAACCCTTATAATTGCTCTGAATTAATACATCAAACAGCTATGTTATCTAACATGCACTGTACTATGGTACGAATGATACTATCTGTAATTGCATATTCTGTTTAGAATTACGCTTTCAGAATTGGTTTATGCACATCATCTAAATATCTCAATGTTCGAAATATATTTTTTTCCTCTATCCTTTTCTATCGTATATTTATTTAACGCCATAAATTTATTTAATGATTTATTTAATAGATATATTATTAAGAAAACCTGTTTGGAAACACTCGTTGGAGTATTTTGGTCGACCCAACTTTTACCTAAATTATAAACACCACATAGAGAGTTTTCGAAAGCAGCCTTTCAACTCCAATAGAATTATTCTTTCTACTAGCTTTTCTCTTTTCCCGCTTTATCCTTTGTTACTCTTTCAAAGAATTTCTTTTATCCTGCTTGCAAAATTTGTTAAATTTTTCCTGAAAAATACTAACAATATTACATTTTCATGTGCAAAAGTTAAAATCGACGTAACTAAAATTGTTTTGCTTCTTTATGCCGTGAATTTTCCAATCTATTGTAAAAATTTCTAGCTAAATGATGGGTCGGTTAACAGGTTGAAAACTTTGTTTGTTGAACAATATTTCAAGCATTCGATGCTCTCGTAATATTTCCATCGTTCATTATAAAAATAAAGCGAAACTAAAGCACAACTTTTAATGCAATTAGAAATTCGCTCTTTTCGCGCGGTCGTGTCGGAAGAAAAATTGAAGTTGAGTTAATTAATAAAGTTGGAGATTGAAGGCAGATGCTTGGGAGAATTCGCAGAATGCGAAAAATTTACGACGAAACTATTCGATCGCCAAGTTCGTCAAATTGTCCTGCTGTGATCGTTTAAAATATCAAACGCTGTATGTTTGTAGGATCGCGTAATTATTGTAATTTATTAGATTTTCGTGAGCAATGCGACGAGCAATATCGTTGGGAATTCTGTAAACGTCGGGAAACATTAGGAAGAAAGGAAGGAAGGGAAAATGTTGGTGAATCGTGGATGGTTATTCTCACCAAATGCCGTGTTGCGAAAATCGAGATGAACGAAACTTCCATTTCGCTATTGCTCATTCCACCTCTTCAGCGACTATGTCAAGATGAAATTCTCGAAATAGACGGCTTCGCGATGGAGAGAAACGTACAACGGAGACACTAAAGAACCAAAGAATCAGAGTGAAAATGAAAATTCGGTTAAGACTCTTTTAATCCGATCTAAATCGTTGTTGCACAATTTTATTCGATGTTGCTCATGTATTTAACGAGTAGATCAACGAATCGCCAAACCGTTCTTCATGATTTCCAATATTATTGTTACGGCCCTTTTGTACGATAGTTCATCAACTAATAATATTGGTAAATCGATTTCACGATTTTATAATATTTGTCGAACAGGATAATCAAATCAATACTTTCATTTCATGTCTTGTTGTAACGTTTTCTACTATTGTACGTTGATGTTTAATAGATTTAGAAATTGTACAGTTTCGCTAGATATATTAGTTAAGATTGACTAATTAATATTTTAAGAAATGTTTCAATATAGTCAACAAATCTTTCGTACTTTTCCGATTATTAGAAAATTGTTTAATCATAGAAGAGCATGATCCGATTCTAAACTATTGAATTAACGTGACAATTAAATGGTTAATGACATTTGGCGGTTACCTCGATAGGTTCTCGAATATCTTAAATTTTAATAAGGAAAGCCAATTTCATCGTGGTAAGAAGTTGGATGCGCAATGCGAACTGGCTACGTAATTAAACTCCCTTTTTCCGTGGCTCGAATGTCCTTTAATATGTAAAACGAGTCAATTAGAATATCAAACGTGACCTCAAACGAGAACACGCACTGCTGTACTAAAATAGCGTGGATACACCACTTTACCAGCCGCCCCTTTTCCCAAGAATCGTTTCACCTTCCGCAATCGTAGCTTCTTTTGCAATCATTTTCGGATCTCCTGCACTCGGGATCTCCTTCACTCGTGAAACATCAGCCAAATTGTTTTCCTTCTCCGCAATTCTCAAAGTTGTTCGATAACAACAACAGCGAATGCAAATAAAAATAAAATATTCAAATAATAATTTTACAAATAAAATTCGATAATCTTTTGCTATATTTATGAATCAATTTTAACCGTATTTAATTAACATTGTCCATTTGTTTTCTGTTTCAGGTACTAACTTGTTGTTTATTTTCTGATTTGTTTATGGATGGCATAAAGGAGGACTCATTTAGGTGAGATGTTTCATCTACATATGAGAATAAGGAAAAGCTTTTTAGAACGATCGAGCAAGATTGCCAAAAGGATTAACGATGCTTCAGACGAGCGTTGCAAAATTGGCAAATGGTCATTCGAATTGTTGTAATAAACCACAATACGATGCCAGCCACAACCGGACGTAAATCGAACAAGGTCGTTGCGCGCCTATTGAATCAGGCTTTATGCGTTTTGACATTGAGCTTGCAATCTGAAAACGATGTTGTTTTCGTTCTCAGCCTTATAGCAGATTTAATGCACGAGAGAATGAACGGTGACGAATGTTTACGCTTCTTCGTGGACACGTTGACGATATTTTTCCTCGGCTGCCAACCGGACGTATAAATTTATTAATCCTATCAAATCTGAAAAGATTATTTTTTCCATGCCCCACCGTAGAGCCATTAGAAAAAAAAAAAAATGAAAAAATTTATACGTAAAAAGCGTATATCGTACATCAAAAGATCGAAAGGGTTTTAGTAGTACATATACGCATTCTGTGGCAAAGCGATTCGAACGTTGGCATAGCTGATCAGACAAGAATGAAGTTGGTTAAACGTGAAAATAAAGTGCTCTCTGGAAGCTTTACGCCAAGCACGTACACGCAAGCTGCAATTTGCATGCTTTTATGCGGTGCGAAGTTTACAACAAGCGCGTACACGTGCCACCGCCGGAAAAGTTTCCTGTTTTTCTTACGAACTGCTCGTTCGAGGGGATATCCGAATGGATAAATTACGTCGTCGCTCTCGGCTGCCTTGCGACGCGTGCCGCGCGTCTAGGGGAAAAAAAGTTCCCCACTCGAGAGTTTTTTTTCCTAACCTTGTCACCGATACTATACGAAATAAGCTTATTAAATCACTCACGGCCGGGATAATTAAATAAATGAATATGATGATTTGAATGTTGCAAAGTTCTCATTATTTATCTTTAATTATGGAGTTTTCTAAAGAAAAACCTATATAAACTGCATTCTCTAATTAAATACTTGAAACTTTGATTTACTTTCTAAATATAAATAGAAGAGAGTTGCTCGAAAAGCATTGTAAAAATTGAAACTAGAACTTCCCACGCAATTTACTCGATCCACGGTTCTATCTTATGAACCTTTTTCGCAGAAAGCTTCTCAATTATCGGTTTATAACAAATTGCTAGCTGTGTACAATTATGTGCCACGTGAAGTTTCCGTTTGTACTGTACGAATGAAATTGCGGAACGTTTCTACTTATTCTCCGAATTCTTCGCATACCGACAGCTTCGTATGCAAACGTTTGAGAATTTACATATTTGAAAAGAAAAATGCCAGTACGATATCGCGTGCGATAACGTTCGTCTCGTATTCAAATTATTAATACACTTATCGTGTCTATCGCTTCTTTTTATTTTACATTTTACGTCCCATTATAATCGTAAAGATCGTTATGACACATTAATCTTCTTTAATTTGTGTAGAATGTTGCGAGTTACTTAGAAACGCGTCGTTAATCCTTGCGTGTTTGATCAAGTTTTCCGATCATGCTCGTACTGTTCATAGCCTTATACATATGTAGAGAAATCGTATTAATTAGAGAAGATATGCTGAAATTATCTTGAATCATATTCATCCTTCTCACATATAGTAGCTTGTTAAAGAATTTCCATACTTATCATAGAAAATTCTTCAAGATGAATTCTTGCTAATGAATTTTCAAAATGTTCCACGCCTAATATATTCGTAATAGATTTATACAATACACTGTAGCTAGCTACTGTATTAGGTAACGGTAATTACGACTGCGTAATAATATTTCGTTAATCTCGAATTAATTGGCAGCTCGTTCGAAGGCACGACAAACGATCGAAAATTGTCCTTAACTTGTCCGTGACAAATTCGATTCCCTGTGACATAAACGTCGCTGATGGTGTTGCGTAATTTTACGTAATTACTCCCTCGTCGCTGGGATAGCTGCTTCGTCCGGAGTTTATACTGAAGCACGCGGATCATTAATATCCGAAATTCTTGGCCTTTCTTCTTCCGATTGAACGGTCGGCTTGCGTATCTGGCATTTTCGTTAAAAAAAGAAGTGCCGTTTATTACGACGGGCAAAGCGTATCGGCGTAGAACGACCTTGATAGGAGATTCAAGGAAATAGGGAATGAATGAACTGACAGGCTGATCGATCTCTCGATAGTTTCGTAACGTTGACAGAAACAAAAAGACGAATTGCAGAAGAAGAAGGCACGACTAGATGCAAAGAGCGAGGATAGCGACCAAGAGAAGGGAGGAGAACGCAAGGTGGAAAGAAGTTGCAGCGAAATAAATTATGCAAAATACTTTCCTTCGTTGGAATATGAAATCGCGCCACGGAGTTTCTCGTCACACGAGGCAAAAGAATTTACTTTGCCACGGCGAATCAGAGACAGGGAGTAAAAAATAAATTCGATAGTATTCTGATTCGGCGTTATCAAATCCGATTGTTGACGAGCACAACAGAAAGATTGTCCGTTTGTGTCCGTTGTATCATTTCCTTTTTTTTTTTTTTTACACATTTTTAATATATTTTATATTTATGGAATATCCATTGCTTTGAAAAAGGAAGACGAAGGTAAAAGATAGAGAAGTGAAAAAAATTAGGAGAATATTATGAAATACTGCCAAGTTAAAAGTTATATGAAATCCGTGAGGAGAAACATCGATCTGCTGGTGGCTAATTGAACTACAAGGGAGGGTAACTTTCACAAAATATTATGTAGTTTGGAACAAGTTCATCGCGGTTTTATAGTATTCTTTAGCCTGTCAGAACTTTTGAATACCACGCTGTGAGACAGAACTTTTATTTACTTTTGACGGGCGGAGGGTGGAAGTTCCAGATTCCATCTCCCTTCTCTTCCGATACTCCGCCTCCGGAGAAAATAAAACCTATTCGTCATCATACGTGTCATGGTTTCCGTGGAGAGTTTCAATAGACGTTGCTAAAGATATATGTATTTCCCACATCTCACATTCCACATTCCTTATTTCGTTTCTCAAATCTTATATTCTCCGTCCCATATACTAACATCCCACATCCAATATTCCCTATCCTACATCGCTGTTCCATTCCCTACATTTTATCCTGCGTTCCACACTCCGTTTTCCATATCCCAGTTTAATAATTCCAACTTTTCGAATTATACGCGGAAGAAAATTCAGAAAATGCCCACAAAATATAATTTTCTCGCAAAAATCGCGAAAACACCGTCACCTCCCACGAGCAGAATTCTTTGTACCACAAAATGAAATTCGCCTTTCCGAGTCGTGTCAGTCCGATGTCCCGAGCAACTCTGAAATCCTCACTTCCCACGAACGAAATTCGCCATCGTAGAGTTGAGTTTGAGATGTGCGATCTAACACTAACGACATGTGTATTGTAATTTCTCGCCAGTCCTATGCTTCCCAATTAAAACTTTATCGACTCCCCGTAGAAACTTGGAAATTACAATTAAAAAAACGCTGTACGCGTCGTAACGTAACGATGAAAAACGTAGCGATTTATTACGGTTAAACCACGAGACGTATTATTACTTCCACCGCCTGCTTGTTTCTACGACTCGAAACGAGTTCTGAGGGAGAGACGGAGAGAGAGAGAGAGAGAGAGAGAGAGAGAGAGAGAGAGAGAGAGAGAGAGAGAGAGAGAGAGAGAGAGAGAGAGAGAGAGAGAGAGAGAGAGAGAGAGAGAGAGAGAGAGAGAGAGAGAGAGAGAGAGAGAGAGAGAGAGAGAGAGAGAGAGAGAGAGAGAGAGAGAGAGAGAGAGAGAGAGAGAGAGAGAGAGAGAGAGAGAGAGAGAGAGAAAAGAATCACGATGATATTTATTTACTAATTCGAATAAAGAAAGCATAATAGAACGAAAAGTAATGGCATACCAGGAGGAGAAGAAACTTTTTCAACGAAGAGTTATACCGTTCTCGTGTAACAGGGACCGATGAGAGAACGGTCAGTCACGGGGAATATAAACGGATTACATGCCTCGAATGCATTTCTTTCACCTATCGCCCCCTACCTCTGTGCCTTGTCCTCTTCACCTGAAACAGTAATACTCGGTCCCTTCCTACGGATACCTGGCCACAGATTTCTCGGACGATAATTAAGGCGAAACGAGATGAGTTCCTCTCTTGGCTTTTTGAATGAGTCACGTTTCCGACAGTCGCTAAACGAGCCACGAGATATACGCAATACCATTTACAAATCTCTGTCGCTGCGTTTAATTGATTTCTCATCAAAGCAAACAAATATTTGCTCCTCTATATTTATTCTCGTGATTTCATCGAGATTGCGAATATTTAGAGAAACAGGATTTTCTATTTATGCTTGTATAGAAGCGGTTTTCCCATAGAGGAGTTTTCCCAAAGAAGTGTTTCCATATTGGCCGCGTATGTTTTTTTTTTTTTTTTTTTTTTATCTTTTTATCTAATTCCCTCGTTTCGCTCTAGCGGCTTCCAATTCGAAATAGTTTTTACATTTTCATCGTTTCGCTGACAAATAAATCTTCCGACGAAGATGAATCGTTTTACGTGTTTATTACTGCAATTGCAGAAAAACAAGCACGGTCTTCAATCTTGTTTCACCCCCGTTGTTCCGCATTCGGATTATTTTATTTCGTTTCGTTCGTTCACAGGTTTTATTATTTTTCTGTTATGCCCGCGATGAATAAATGCATCGGGAAGCATTATTGTCATTGGTAATAATTTACGATGCTCGATCGGGCGTTACATAAAATTATTAACGTTACATTAATGATCGTTATCGCGTTTCGCATAATTCTCTGCCGGACGCGTCGTAAATTTTTTTTTAAATCGATACTTATACGTATATCCACTGTTTCCATTGTTTTCCTTTCTCATTTATCTCGTATAACGGTTTCTTTAAAAATCGACGAAGAAAGCAAAAAATTGAGTCATCGAGCGGACGGGAAAAGACGACGTAAAGTATGGAATTGATTTATTTCTAAGATTATCCATGTTAAGTAACTAAAGGCTCTCTTTCGGCTTGATACAACTCTCTGATACTTTCGTTCGAAGGGAGAAATAGTCCTGAGGAGAAAAATACGCTTGACGTGGCACTGAGAAAATATTGCGGTGTATGAAACGGAGACACTTTATCGCTACGATATATATCATTCTATTCACTTACTCGCGCGTTGCTTTTTGAAATGATAGTAAGTAGTAGGAAGAGAAGGGTAAGAAGAATCCGCGCTATGAGAATTTTCAACGCGAAATAAAAAGCAGGCCTGTTTCATAAATGGCCGGACACGCGAACGCGTTCCTAAGGTGAGGGGAAGCAAAATTGTAAGTACCTGTCTCTTAAAAATCGTCGAATTTTTGCGATGAGAGGGTAGTAAGTAATTTTCCAGAGATTGCAAGCCGGCGAATGAAGCGATAAAATATATTGCGA